TGGCCTCTCATTCAAAAGGTCCCGGGTTCGAATCCGGGTAGCGACCAAAAAATTGTCTTCTCTAAAATTGTCTCCTTTCACCTCCTTTCCTGCTCTCTAGCAATGTTCTGTTGTCTGCTTTCATTTCCACTTTCTGCCCCCACCCCCTCACCTCCTTTGCCCCCTCCTCTGGGCTCCTGACTCTTTCTGCAACCTTTCTACTGTTACTTCTTGGCTCCTCCTTACTGCTGTCTTTCTGCCACACCCCTGATCTTCTGGTAGGAAAGATCTACACCTAGACTTCTCGGACGAGGGCGAAAAATCTCGGAGGGCCCGTGTGCAAGTTGCGCACGTTAAAGATCCCTTGGTGGTCTAAAATCGATAAGAGTAGGCTTCGGCCGCCACCCGGGCAAAATTCAAAATTTCCTACCAACTGAAAATATTAGGTGTGTCCCGCGCACTTATATGACCTTATGCAGTTGCGAGCGCCGTAAAACACTTTACAAAAACAAACAAACGACTCATACCTCGCGGGTGGTTGGGGGATTAGTAAGTAAGTTTTAGTAAAGTGTTTTTACAGCACTTGCAACACAATAAGGTCATATAAGTGCCGTGGTTGGGGGATGCCACTGATTGGTTCTCTTTCTTACCTTTCCCCCTGCTGTTTCTGTCAATCTCTCTTACTTTTGCGGGTGGTTGGTGGTTGCTCTGGCGTGGTTTGCTCCTTCTCTCCTATCAAACATCTGTCGTCCTGATTACTCTCTTGAGTTGTAACTCCTCTAGTCTTCGGCACTTATATAAATGAACTTATTGTGTTTCAAGTTCCGTAAAAAATTTTACTAAAGAAAGAATTCTTATTTTTTCCAAGCACTAGATGACCATTATTGTGTGGATCTACTTCTCCTCACCAAAAGAAAAAACCTCGTCTGTTCTTTTACTCTTCGTGGCATCAGTGGTCTAGTGGTTAGGCAGTTGGGCTCGCAATCCAAAGACCGTGAATTCGAACCCTGTCAGGAATTTTCCTCTCTTCACCCTGGCGTCGATGGGTACTGACTGGGTCGTAGACTACGAGATTTCTTGTCAGTTTGTTTATTATGTTTGAGTGCTTAACCGGCTGGTCACATTGCATGTGGGTGGTTGGCGGGTGCTCTGTTGTGGTTTGCTTCTTCTTTCCTATCAAACATGTATCGTCTTTATCTCTCCTCCTTTTTTTTGTTTGTTACTGTCTTGTAACACCTCAAATCTTCGGCACTTATATGACCTTATTGTGTTGCAAGTGCCGTAAAACACTTACTAAAACTTTTTTAAATGACATTGCATGCCTCCAGGAACCAGAAAATGACCATGTTTTGGGGTGTTCTGGGGCATGTTGGGGGAATGACATAAGCGTTGTTGAACAGTGCATACATAGCTTGCTGTTGAGTGGAGACATTTGATATACAAATGCTATTTATTAATATTCATCTATTCATTCATTCTTTCATTCATTTATTCATTTGTTTATTATTCATTTATCTGTGTGTTTATTTATTTTATTCATTAATTTGTTTACCGATTTATTTGTTTGTTTATCTATTTAAAAACCTTACTTAAACAAACAAACAAAATGTATTTATTTATTTACTTAATTAATTTATTTATCTGTCTGTTTATTTATCTTCAGATCAACGCCATGGTAAACAAGGCACAGGGCAAGGGCTACGAAAACGAAAGCTTCTACAGCAACATGAAGTTCCAGTTCCTGGGCATTGAGAACATACATGTGATGAGGGCAAGTCTACAGAAACTGACGGAACGTAAGTGTACATTTATCTGTCTGTTTGTCTGTCTGTCTGTCTGTCGGTCGGCCGGTCTGTCCGTCTGTCCGTCCGTCCGTCCATCCATCCATCCATCTAACTATTTACCTATCTATCTATCCATCTATCCATCTAGCTGTTTCTCTTTCTCTCCTCTCTCTATGTATTTATACATTTTTCTATCTCTCCATCTATTTTTCTATCCTCATTTCTCCTGTGTCTGTTTCTTCTCTCTTTCCCTCTCCCCCCCCCCCCCTCCTGCTCTCTCCCATCCTTCCCCCTCTCCCTCACCCATAAAATGAAATATGTATCTTTTTTATGAGGGCATCCCATGCGCCCCACTCCCCCTCCCCCCTCTCTTGGTGGATGCTCCAGTGTGGTTTGCTCCTATCAAACATCTATCGTCCTTAGGCTATTATCTCTCCTTCTTTTTTGTGTTTGTTACTCTCTTGTAACACCTCTAATCTTCGGCACTTATATGACCTAATTGTGTTGCGAGTGCTGTAAAATGCTAACTTAAACTCTTCCCATACCCCCCCCCCGTCCTGGTTTCTTTTTCTCCCCATTTTTCTCAGTGTGTGAGTTGAAGAAACCTTCCATGAACGACTTCCTCTCTCGCTTGGAGACCTGCAGCTGGCTCAAGCATATCTCTGCCGTCATCGACACTTCAGCGTTCATTGCTAGAGTGAGTACATGTGTACACCAGCGTTTTATAGCCAGGGTTAAAACATGTGTACGTCAGAGTTCATAGCTAGGGTGAGTACATCTGTACATCAGTGGCCATAGCCAGGGTGAGTACATGTGTATGTCTATGTTCATAGCCAGGGTGGGTACATGTGTACGTCTACCTTCATAGCCAGGGTGAGTACATGTGTACGTCTACGTTCATAGCCAGGGTGAGTACATGTGTACGTCTACGTTCATAGCCAGGGTGAGTACATGTGTACGTCTACGTTCATAGCCAGGGTGAGTACATGTGTACGTCTACGTTCATAGCAAGGGTGAGTACATGTATACGTCTACGTTCATAGCCAGTGTGAGTACATGTGTACATCAGCGTTCATAGCCGGATTGAGTACATGTGTATGTCAGTATTCATCACCAGGGTGAGTACATGTGCACATCAGCATTCATCGCCAGGGTGAGTACATGTGTACGTCAGCGTTCATAGCCGGGTTGAGTACATGTGTATGTCAGTATTCATCACCAGGGTGAGTGAGTACATGTGTACTTCAAAGTTCTTAGCCAGGGTCAGTGAGTACATGTGTACGTCTGCATTCATAGCCAGGGTCAGTGAGTACATGTGTATGTCTACATTCATAGCTAGGGTGAGTACATGTGTACGTCAGCATTCATTGCCAGCGTGAGTTCATGTGTACGTCTGCGTTCATAGCCAGGGTGAGTGAGTACATGTGTACTTCAACGTTCTTAGCCAGGGTCAGTGAGTTCATGTGTACGTCTGCGTTCATAGCCAGGGTGAGTACATGTGTCCTCAGTGTCTGATCGAGTGTGTCTATATATATGTATTCACCCACTGGTATGCTACATGAATGGATAGTGCAAGGCTTGAACACGATAATTGGGTGAACACATTTTCAAATTTCTTTTGGACACCACTGTTGTGTGTGTGTGTGTGTTGGCATGTGTGTATGTGTTTGTGTGTGTGTGTACGTATAGAAGTATAAAAACTCACACACATGTGAAAGAAACAAAAGCAATTCCGGAAATGTGGTTTTGTATTTTTCTATGTTATAAGTTCATGACATTTTGAAACTGAGCCTTTTAATACCAGTTCTCTAATAATGTATAAATTGTAATTTTGGGTAGACTTACTATGATGCCCTTAATCCTTCTTGGTGAGACTTGTGTGTCCAATAATTTATTTTCTCAATGTGTGAACTGTACTACACTTTAAAGATTTTTCAATTTCCTTAGAGGTTTATGTGTCTTCTTCCATGTACATGTGGGTGGTTTGCGGATGCTCTGGTGTGGTTTTCTTCTTCTTTCCTATGAACTATGAACATCTATCGTCTTTATCTCCCCTCCTTCTTTTTTGTGTTTGTTACGCCCTTGTAACACCTCTAATCTTCAGCACTTATATGACCTTATTGTGTTGCAAGTGCTGTAAAACTTTCACTAAAACTAAATATGTGCCTTCTTCGCCGTACGTAGGCAATTTCCGAAGGTACCAGCGTCCTGGTTCACTGCTCCGATGGCTGGGACCGCACAGCTCAGACCTGCTCCCTGGCCGGGCTGATGTTAGACCCGTACTACCGCACCATGCAAGGCTTCCAGGTACTGTGCTTTGCTCTTTTTTGGGGGGGGCATCAAACAACT